AACTGCCTCCTCACCCCCCAGCTGCGAAGGCAGCGCCTGGATATAACTGGCCAAAGCCCGCTCAGAGCCCGCACCAGGGCAAGATCGGTCAGCATCGAACCGGCAGATCGGATCGGATCGACATTTGCATCGGATCGGGCTACAATCAACCCGTATAACCTTGGAAGGCCATGTCGATACTTTTCGAGCGGGGCGCGGCCAACGAGAGTGTCCAAGGGTGGACCGAGGAGGCAAGGATGCAAGGGTACCCTTGAGAAAGTTACCCGTCCTTACTATGCGGGTCGACTGTACGTCGACACGGAATCGTCATCGGATCGGCTGCGCCAGGATGTGCAATGGCACCATGCAGGCATCGGGCCGAGCCGAGTCGCATCGGGCCTGCCGGCATCGACATCACACTCGATCGACTGGATCGGCATGGGCCCTGCCAGGGTCACCCGACTCCGCGCCTCGCGATCTCCCTTGCTTGGGAGCGCGCAGACATGGATTAGCGATCCATGGATTTGGCGCACGGTCGCCAGATCCATGGATCGGGGGAGGTGCCCTCCCCCAAATCCGGCCAGCGCCGCCTCGCTCGGCGGCGAAATCCGCGGTTCCCCGTTGGAAACGGGGCCCGTCGCTAATCCACGCCCCCCTGATCCATGTTTGCGCTTGCCTGACTTGCGCGGCCACCCCAGACTTAAGTCGGGCGTGTTCCCCTACAGGGGGGTTGTGGGCGACAAATTAAAAATACTTTAAAACATGCCCCCCAATGGGCAAAAATTGTCAAACAATCCTCCCCGGACTATTTGTTTAAACGAGTCTTGAGTCTTCCTCCTGTAGAGGGACAGGCCCGACAAAACCCCAGACCCAGGGGCAGCTCGCCGGCCCAGGCCGCGCAGCACGCAGCGTGGCGGGAGCCCCGCCTCCCCCGCCCGGGGCGGACAGGCAGAGCCGCGAGCTCTGGGAGTCCCAGCACGCCCGCGCGGTGCCGGGCCGCGCGGTGGCCCCGGAGCAGCCCGAGAGACCTCACCGAGCGGTCCGTCCCTGGACGGCCTGGGGACCCTCAGGGGACCCTCAGGAGGAGGAGGAGGAAAAGGAGGAGGAGGAGGAGGAGGAGGAGGAGGAGGAGGAGGAGGAGGACCCTCAGGGGGCCCTGCTCGCCCGAGACGTCGTCGGAGAACGGCCCGAGCTCCAAAGCCGTGAGGCGACCCCGGATCCCACGCGTCGTGGTCACCGCACCGCCTGGGGGCCATCGCCGACGCCTGGTGGCTTTCGGGTCATAGCTCGGGCCTGCGGCGGCCGTTTGGGACGATTCGGGCACCCCCGAAAGCTCTCGGCAAGGCGCAGCTGCTGGAAAGCATCCCGAGGCTGAAAAACCGCCAAGAACCGACGAACGTGTCCGAACAGTTCGAATCTCGGACCCTCCGAAAAACTCGAACCCCCACTTGCACGGTTTCCCCTGGGGCCGCAAGCGACCCGAGGAGGAGGAGGAGGAGGAGGAGGAGGAGGAGGAGGAGGAGGAGGAGGAGGAGGAGGAGGAGAGCAGGAGCAGGAGCAGGAGGAGAGGAGGATGAGGAGTAGAGTATGAGGAGGAGGGAGGAGGAGGGGAGGAGGAGGAAAGGAGGAGGAGGAGGAGGAGGAGGAAAAGGGAGGAGGAGGAGGAGGAGGAGGAGAGGAAAAGGAGGAGGAGGAAAAGAAGGAGGGGGAGGGGGAAGAGGGAGGAGGAGAGGAGGAGGAGGAGGAGGAGGAGGTGAGAGGAGGAGGAGGGAGAGGGAGGAGGAGGAGGAGGAGGAGGAGGAGGAGGAGGAGAGGGGGGGAGGAGGAGGAGGAGGAGGAGGAGGAGGAGGAGGAGGATGAGGAGGAGAGGAGGAGGAGGAGGAGGAGGAGGAGGAGGAGGAGGAGAGGAGGAGGAGGAGGAGGAGGGGAGGAGGCGGAGAGGGAGGAGGGAGGAGGAGGAGGAGGAGGAGGAGAGGAGGAGGAGGAGGAGGAGAGAGGAGGAGGAGAGGAGGAGGAGGGGGAGGAGGGGGGAGGAGGAGGGGGAGGGAGGAGGAGGAGGAGGAGGAGGGAGGAGGAGGAGGAGGAGGAGAGAGGAGGAGGAGGAGGAGGCGGAGGAGGAGGAGGAGGAGGCGGAGGAGGAGGAGGAGCCTAAGCCCTTCGGAGAAACCCTCCATCTCCACTGACTCACCACGCGGTGTGGTCACCACTCCGTTTGGAGGCGCCTGGAGGCGGGGACGCGAGACCTCGGGGCGCCCGTGGGCCGCGGCCTGGACGCCTGCTGGTACGGCGTGGGCCCAGAAGCCTCGGGAGCCTTCCGGCGCCGGCGCTCGGGCGCCTCCCATGAAAATATCGAGACGGATTTGTTTCATCGTATTCGGCCCCCCGTGGGGCCCTTACCAAGCCCCAGGGTGAGAAGTCTCCCCCCCAGGAAGCAGTCGAGAGGTCGGGGGCCCGTGTCTCGAAAAAAGCAACTCGCCGGATGTATGGGTCCCTCCCTCGTCCTTTGTCCTCCTCCATTCCTCTGCTTGATGAATGATCCCTGTCGCGCCCCGAGGCTGGTCGAAAGGCGGTCCGGGCGTTTCGCCTGAGACATCCTCGCCATTTTGAAGGGGCCCTGGCACACACAGATAAATACACACAGATAACATGATTCCCCGTGTGTTCCCATATCTTCTGGGTTTCTGTCTTCCCCCCCACCTCCCATATTTTCCCATATTTTCGGGGGAATCGACGATTAATTGTGTCTGTGTGTTTTTACCCTCCTTTTACCCTCCTTTGCACCAATCCACTCTCCCTGTGGGACCGCGCCCCCTGCTCCAGTCCATGGCGTACCTTGTCCTGTGCAAGATCTTCGGCACCGCCTGTTTTCTGAGCCCTCCGGCCGCCTGAGGCCCCGCCCGCCCGCGCCCTGTCTCCCCAATTAGGGCTACCCGCGTCCCGTTTAGCTCTTGACCGGAAGGGGCCCGCTCCCGACCCGCAGACCCCACAAAGTCCCCCTTACAGGGGGATTTTGGATGAACGATAACAATATTTTAAAACATGCTCAAAAGATGCCCACAAATACTCCAAAAATAATTCCCCGACTATTTTCTTTATGCAATTTTTGACTGTTCCCGCTGTAGAGGGACATGCCCGATTTCATCTCAAAAGTTTGCAAGAGGTTCGCGGGTGGAAGGCAGGTGGTTTTCGAGATGTGGCTCTCGCCAGAGCGCCGCGAACAGTTGTGTTAAACACTTGCCAGAGTTTCACGGATGGAGGGCGGATCGTTTTCCGAATGTGGCTCTCGCCTGAGCACCGCGCACATTGGTTTACAAGCTAGCCTGGCGGTGGGCTAAACCGTCTGGTTGTGAGTACCGCAGTTGTGAGGGTCGTTACTGGTGGGCCACAAAGTGAGTGGGGCGTGTGCCGAATCGGGGACGGGTACGCCATGCGGACTGTGTCATTGGGGCCTTCGGTGGAGCTCCCTATGGGGCCACGAAGCGTGTGAGGGGTGTGCCAAATCGGATGCGGGTACGCCGTGCGGACTGTGTCATTGGGGCCTTCGGTGGAGCTCCCTATGGGGCCACAAAACGTGTGAAGAAGTGCCGAACCGGGGTCGAGACTTCTTACGGGGCTACGAAGCGCGCGAGGGCCGTCCCGAATCAGGTGCGGACGCCATGCGGACTGTGCGACTGGGGCTTTTGGCGGAACTCCCTGTGGGGCCACGAAACGTGTGAGGGGTGTGCCAAATCGGATGCGGGTACGCCGTGCGGACTGTGTCATTGGGGCCTTCGGTGGAGCTCTCTACGGGGCCACAAAAAGTGTGGAGGATGCGCTGGGCCGGATGTGGGTACGGCTTCTGGACTGTGCAATTGGGGCCTTCTGGTGGACCTCCCTATGGGGCCACGACGCGTGTGACGGGCGTGCCACATCGGATGCGGGTACGTCATGCGGACTGTGCCACTGGGGCTTTCGATAGAGCTTCCTATGGGGCCACAAAACGTGTAAGGGGTGTGTGCCAAGTCGGGCGCGGTTACGCCATGCGGACTGTGCCACTTCGGTCTTCGGTGGAGCTCCCTACGGAGCCACGAAACGTTTGATGTGGTATGCCATATCGGATGCGGGCACGCCATGCGGACTGTGCCACTGTGGCCTTCGGTGGAGCTCCTTATGGGGCCACGAAGCGTGTGAGGGGTGTCCCAAATCGGATGCGGGCACGCTGGGCGGACTGTGCCACTGTGGCCTTCGGTGGAGCTCCCTATGGGGTCACGAAACGTGTGAAGGGTGTGCCAAGGCGGCATTGCTTGGTATTGCATTGCTTGGTATTATGCGGCATTACTTGGCAGTGCGTTCCTTTGTTTGGCATTCCTTCGCATTGTCGACGCGCAGGCCGTTACGACACCTACTGGCGCAGGATTCAACGAATAATGCACGCGAATTTGGTTATACTTTTTTGTGGAGCCTCCAGGTGGCATTCTCGTCGCCACGTCATCGGGTCCGCCTCGAATTTCGAATCACACGCACCCAAATAAAAGTTCAAGTGGCACACGAACAGGTGTATCGAGGGCGAGAGCACAGGAGGAACGGGTAAGGGGACTTGAAAGGGAACGGCCCAATCTCAAAGACCAAAGAGAATGACGCCAAGTGCCAACATATGCGAAGCTTGAAGGACCAAGACTGCGTGGCGCGAAGCGCCGACGCAACCTTGTGTGTACATATGTGTGTGAGAGTCCACCGCCTTCTCAGGTCCCCAGGCGGTGGATCTACTAAGCCCAAACTCGCACAGGGGGCGATGAAGGCTTCATGACCCAGGGGTGGCTGAACAAAAGGATACCTTCTGAAGTCATTACGATCCTGAAGAGACACTCTGCCCGCCCGGGCGAGGGCTGGGCGCCGCAATGAAAAAGAGATGACGTTGGGCTTCAACCCTGCTTCCTCCATCTCGCGGACCAGCGACAGTGCCTGCTGCCAATGCCCGTCCATCTCGCACGCCTTGATGCCGGCACCGTAGCTGACGATGTCCAGCTCCAGCCCCACTGCCTTCAGTGTGCCAAGCAGCGACAGTGCCTGCTGCCACTCGCCGCCATTCGTGCACGCCACCATTCCAGCGCTGTAGCTGACGGAGGCTGGCCCGTGGACCGCCCGTCGCGTGCGGCTCCACATGCGCGGCGTCGAGACCAAACGCAGGGCGAGGTCGCTCCGCCGTGCGCGCGGGCCCACACTGACGCTAAGGGAGGGCGACGGGCCAGCAGGCGCTCGTCCCCATTGCCCGGGCGGGCGCAAGAAAAAGGCCCCCAAGATGAGGTGCTCCTTCTGGGGACCTCTCTGGAGCCCATCGCTCCGCTGGTGCGTCGAAGCTGCGTCGAACGTCCGCCGAACCTGAGTCGAACCTGAGTCGAACCCGAGCCGAACCTGAGTCGAACCTGAGTCGAAGGGAAGTCGAACTGGAGTCGAACATATACATTAGGTGTGCCCCAGGAAGGTCCCCCAAACCGAGCATCGAACCAAGACGGCCTCCACAGAAGGGCCCCGAACTGGCAGCTGGACAGCCCTGCGCCCCAAGAGGAGCCCCGAGGCCGTCTCCGGGCCTCCGGAGGCCCCCCGAGGCGCCCCGCCCCCAAAGAGGTTCCCCAGAGGCCTCCCACGGGATCCCAGGAGACCTCCCAGAGGCCTCTGGTCCACGACTTCGGCGCGCTGGCGACAGGAAGGAATGCCACCAGATTTCCCCAGAATGGCCCAAGAGTGCCCCAAGAGTGGCCCAGAAGGGCTCCAAGAGGGCCTCGAAGGCCAGCAAGAGAACACCAAGAGAGGCCCAACATATGCGCAAGGAGCTATTACTTGTCGGCTCCATATGGCGACCTCCAATAGAGCCCCCTCTTCTTGATCACTGCCTCCAAGAGGGCCCCGTCAGTGCCTGAGAGGAACCCCAGGGATCCCAAATGATCCCCCAGGGGACTACGACTCCAAAAAGGGCCCCAAGATGACTCCAGTTGGCCTCCTCCCATAGGTACGAAAGTGGCTTATTATTGGGGACTGTCTGGGCTGATCACAGCTTCGGTTTAACTGGTGTCCACACTCTGCACTAGCTCACCGACTGTCCTTCTTCTCTCATCAACCCGCCTGGGAATCGTTTCTGCATGGGCTGATTGGGATACGCGAAGCGTCGATGACACGAATTGTCCGAAGCCTGTGAAAACTAGTGTGCTCCATGACCAGTCGTTCCGCAGACTAAAGGGACAGACAAACAAATAAGGGCTACCTTGCAGCGTCAAATTATCATGGTTGTTCCTCTCCCGTTCTATTTTTATAGGTTCATGTTCTCCTCGCCGCTCTTCCCTCTTCTCGATCTCATTCTAGCTCACTGGGAAGTCCTGGGCATTCCTGGCTGCTCTTGGATAAGGTTTTGCCCATGTGGGGCCCTGTTGGAGCCCTGCGTGGAGCTAGCTGGGGGGGCCACACTGGGCAGTCTCAGGGCATGACGCCGTCTTGAAAGCTTAGATGTGTTCGTTTGGGGTTCTCCTGAGGAGAGCCTGGGGCCATCTCGGAGTGCTATGTGGCAGGGAGCGCACAGCGTCGAGCAAACTCTGGCTAGGTGGTCACAGAGCTGCCCTGGCTTTCCATGCGCATCTCGCCGCCTGGCCAGCATCTAAGAGGGAGGAAGAGGACGCCTATCTTGTTGACGACAACGAGGAAGTAGCGGGGGCGGTCCTTCTGCAAGGAACATGGCACGGGCTGACCTGCAGGACAAACAACGGAGACTCTTCTGTCAATACAGGGGGCCTTGGGGAGGAGTGACTCGCCGATCCTACTGCCCGGGGGTGCGGAGGCAGCAAATGCCATACGGGAAGACGAGGCCAGAGGCGGTGGTGGGGTAGAATGGGGATGAGGATCTGCGCCTGGACCCGCTCCATGAGGCTCGGAAGCATCCCAGCAGACATCTGTGGGGCCTCGTGGAACCGCCGGCCTCTCCGTCCAAGCTGAAGCCCAGTGCCCTTCGCGACGTCTGTTAGCAGAGGAACTCTCCGCCCTGGGCATCCAAGCCCGCGACAAAGCCAGGACCCAGGACAAACTCGGAACGGGACAAATCGGGAATCTCTGAAGTCCAGCGGCTCTGGAGGATGCATCGGGCGCCGCGGCCGCTCCAGAGCTCCTCCTCCTCCTCCTCCTCCTCCTCCTCCTCCTCCTCCCTTCCTCCCTCCCTCCCTCCTCCCCTCCTCCCTCCTCCCTCCTCCCTCCTCCCTCCTCCTCCCTCCTCCTCTCCTCCTCCTCCTCCTCCTCCTCCTCCTCCTCCTCCTCCTCCTCCTCCTCCTCCTCCTCCTCCTCCTCCTCCTCCTTCTCCAAATCCCGAGCTTCCGGGGCCAGAGGGCTCGTTTTTCGACGCTGCGCGGCGGCGCGCTGGCGGCCCCGCCCGGCCGCTTCAGGTTTGACCTCCCCCAAGCTTCTAGAAACGTTGTGTCGGGAGGCCTACACGAGGAGTTTGGAGCGGGACTTGGGTGGCAAATGGGATGTCGGGAAACGCCTCTGTCTGGACATCTCCAAAGCTGCCTGCAGTTCCAAGGAACTCCCCCTGCCCAGCGTGGTTGGATCCGTGCCTGTTCTAGCTGCGCTGGATCTGCAGTCGACCCTCTGTGCCCGAAGCGCCAGGCTACCGACTCCATCACCCACAGGTTGTGGGAATGCCCCGATGACGAAGTTGCCGAGTCAAGGGCCCAGATGGTCCCCGCCTCTGTTGTTGCTGCTGCTCTTGCTGCTCTGACCAGTGAGGCCTCCAGCGAAGATACCTGCCTGTATACCAGAGGAGCTTTCGCTCACCCCGCCGACTGGCTGCCCAGGCCAGCTCTTGAGGGGACCAACTCCCCGGTGTACGCCTGGCATCGCACTGAGCTCGTGAGCCCAGAGGGCCCCAGGGCCCCTGCCAACGAAGAGATGTGGGGGCACCTGTTCATCGATGGATCCTGCCAGCGCCACCCCGTTCGTGAATTATCACGCGCGGCATGGGCTACCTCGATGACTTCGGACGATAGGGGAGTGCCTCGGAGAGGTCAGGGGCCCTGTATGGGCCCACTTCCCTCAGACTCCGCAGGCCGCGGCATTCTCGGCTCGTTGTGTGGCTTCTCAGCTCATGATTTTCCCGAGTATCTTGCATTCTGACTGCGCCAGATGTGGTCCACCAGAGCTGCCTCCCCCTGCCTGACAGATGTTCAGGGAAGAGAGCCTCTTCTGGAATGATGTTGCAGGGCAATGCCAATGAGGGCCAGGCTTTGGACGGCATCGTGAAAGTTGAGGCCCACCTCAGCCTCGAGGAGGAAGGCCTCTGAGCTCGTGACCGGTTTCTTCGCAAGGGTAGCTCGGACGCCGACATTGGAGCTAAGCTTAAGTCGGGCCTGTCCCCCTACAGGGGGATTTTCGACGAAAAACAAAAAATACACTCAAAATAATTTAAGCAATTGCGCAAAAATAGTCTGGGGACTATTTTTTGAATATTTGTTGGGCCCTTTTGGGGTATTTTTGGGGTATTTTTACTTTTCGTCAAAAATAGTCTGGGGACAATGTTTTGAATATCTTTGGACCTTTTTGGTGTATGTTTTGGGCACTTCTTATTTTTCGTCGAAAATCCCCCTGTAGGGGGGCACGCCCGACATAAAGCTACGCACGGCCTTCCGCTTCACCCGTCTGCCCCCTGGTGATATGGAGAAGCTGCGACGACGCTGGCCGCTGCCGCCAGAGCATACTGCATTCTTGCGGCCAAATTGCTCCCGCTCTGGCCCAAGCTGCCCCTCGATGTGCCATACAGTCAAAACGTCTAGTAAGGACGCGAGGTAAGGACGCAAGATCCTTGGAGGCCGAAGTTGGGTCTTCTAGGGCGGCGGGCGACCAGTGATAACGGCAAAGGACGGGCCTCAGAGGCAAGGACGCAAGGGTATCCTAGATGAATGCGCGCGTCCTTACTAGGCGCGTTGACTGCACACCCCACCTGAGCGCTCTTTCTCTTCGCTGTGCCTCCCCCCGTGCCTCACAGGCGGGAGAGATGGAGTGGCACTTGGGGGTGTGCTGTTTGTCTGCAGGGGCGGAGGAAAGCAGAGAGTTGCCCCCCGCCTGGCTCCTGCGTAGGTTTCTCCAAGCTCCATGCTGCGAGGCAGCAGGAACTAGGCCACCGTACGGTGGCGTTCAATTGCTCAGATGGGTCAACTCTGTTTATCTTCTTGCGCTGCAAATGCCACTCTTCAGGCGCCTCGGTCCGAGGCCTAGGAGAGCGGTGTCAGCCACCTTCCCGCGCCGCTAAATATGGGTGGCGAGCGCTCGCGAAGGGCACTCATCCGCATTATTCTAAGCAGAAGCTGAATGTTACCGTCGATTTGGACAATTGTATTGCCTGTTTTGACACTTGTGTGTTTGAGGATGGGTCCGAGCCCTCCGTCCGTGGCGATGACCACGTTCTGGAGTGCGCCTCTCCCTCCGCTCCGTCTGCCACCGCCTCTGGTGCTGCTTCTGCACCTGCCGCCGCAGGCCATGTCCCCCCGCCCCCGTCCCACCTGGCGCCCACTGCATTCAGGCCCCCTGCGGTTGAAGGGACGGGGGTGTGTACGACCTCGGGGACTCGGCCAGGCGAGAGACGGCAGCTGCGAGAGGTGCGGGCTCCTTTTCGCGGCTTTGAGGAGGAGGAGGAGGAGGAGGACGAGGAGGAGGAGGAGGAGGAGGAGGAGGAGGAGGAGGAGGAGGAGGCTGCTCTCTCCCTCTTCGGTCCGCCCAGCGCCGCAGCTCGAGAGGCGAAGCCCGCCCCATCTCTCAGAGATGTGTTGTTGCACGGGTGGCGAGCTCGAGTCACAGGAGGACGGAGACACACGGACCCCGCTCCTGGACCGCGCGCTGGAGCCGACCTTTCAGGCGACCCAGACTAACCTTATGTCGGGCCTGTCCCCTTACAGGTGGATTTTCGATGAAAAATAAGCAATGCCCCAAACATGCACAAACAAGGTAAAACATATGCAAACAAAAATCCCCCGACCATTTCTTGATTATTCCCGGCGGATCCGGGTGAAATTCCGTGCCCGTCGGTGACTGATTGACTGATTGATTGACTGACTGATTGACTGACTGATTGTCTGAACGTCAGGAGGGCGCCTTGAACAACACATTTCACTCCGCCCGCGGGCGCGCAACCGCTACTGGGCGACACATTTAAACCTGCCCGCGGGCGCGCAACCGCAACCGCACCAGGGCGACACATTTCAACCCGCCCGCGGGCGCGCAACCGCAACCGCAACTGGGCGACACATTTCGACCCGCCCGCGGGCGCGCAACCGCGACTGGGCGACACATTTCAACCCGCCCGCGGGCGCGCAACCGCAAACGCAACTGGGCAACACATTTCGGCCCGCCCGCGGGCGCGCAACCGCAACCCCACCTGGGCGACACATTTCAACCCGCCCGTGGGCGCGGAACCACAACCGCAACTGGGCGTCACATTTCGACCCGCCCGCGGGCGCGCAAGCGCAATTGGGCGACACATTTCAACCCGCCCGCGGGCGCGCAACCGCAACCGCAATTGGGCGACACATTTCGACCCGCCCGCGGGCGCGCAACCGCAACCGCAGCTGGGCGACACATTTCACTCCGCCCGCGCGGGTGCGCAACCGCAAACGCAACTGGGCGACGCATTTCAGCTCGCCCGCGGCGCGCGCAACCGCAACTGGGCGACACATTTCAACCCGCTCGCGGGCGCGCAACCGCAACCGCGACTGGGCGACACATTTCAACCCGCCCCGCGGGCGCGCAACCGCAACCGCACAAGGGCGACACATTTCAACCCGCCCGCGGGCGCGCAACCGCAACTGGGCGACACATTTCACTCCGCCCGCGGGTGCGCAACTGCAACCGCAACTGGGCGACACATTTCAACTCACCCGCGGGCGCGCAACCGCAACCGCAAACTGGGCGCCACATTTCAACCCGCCCGCGGGCGCGCAACCGCAACCGCACCTGGGCGACACGTTTAAACCTGCCCGCGGGCGCGAAACTGCAACCGCTACTGGGCGACACATTTCGACCCGCCCGCGGGCGCGCAACCGCAAGCGCAACTGGGCGACACATTTCAACCCGCCCGCGGGCGCGCAACCGCAACTGGGCGACACATGTCGACCCGCCCGCGGACGCGCAACCGCAACCGCAACTGGCCGACACATTTCAATCCGCCCGCTGGCGCGGAAACGCAACCGCAACTGGGCGACACATTTTCGACCCGCCCGCGGGCGCGCAACCGCAACTGGGCGACACATTTCGACCCGCCCGCGCGCGCGCAACCGCAACCCCAGCCGGGCGACGCATTTCAACCCGCCCGCGGGCGCGCAACCGCAGCCGCACCGCTCACCTGTCGTCCTCCTCGTGGGGATCTGAAGCGGAGGAAAGCCGGGGGGGAGGTGGGAGGGGCGGGGGAGGGAGGAGGGAGGCGGGAAGGGGGGAGGAAGTAGGGGGGGAGGGGGAGGAGACGGAGGGAGGGTAGAGAGCTCACAACGGTTGGGGGCGGACAACTTCTGCCCCCCCCCCCCCCTTCCACGCAAGTGGATCTCGACAAGGCTCCAGACCCTGGGTTCCTGATCCAAGGCCTCCGCGGTCTGCTAGCGGGATGGGCGGGCTAACCGCCCCCGAGGGGGGAGACGAGGCTTTGACAGAAACGGACCGTTGCACCGTCTAGTTTGTAGTTGGGGGGGCGACGCCGCGGGGATCGATTGCGCGTTCACCCGCGCGCAAAGTGCCCGCGGACGTAGGGGCATCGGCGCCGTCTTATTCATGCAGCCTGCCGGGTCTTACTCATGATCTGGCGCAGGAGCAGGTGGAGGAGGAGGGGGGAAAGACGAGGAAAAGGTAAGGGAGGAGGAGGAGGACCAGCAGGACGAGGAGGATGAGGAGGAGGAGGATCAGCAGGACGAGGAGGAGGAGGAGGACCAGGATGGCCAGGAGGAGGAGGACTATGGGGAGGGGGATGCCAGGGTGGTGCTGCTTGCGAAGGTGCACCAGCAGGTGCTTGTTGCGGAGGACGGAGGGGGATGAGGTGGTGGACGTCAAGGAAAATATGGGCGTGGAGGTGGATGTCCTCCTCGCGGCCTCCGGGCGTGACCCGCGGTTCTCCGCTGGGACACTGCAGCGGGGAATCCCCATTCCACGCTGCTGCCTCTGATTGTTTGACTAATTTGGGGTTGTTTTTTTTATTATTCGTCGAGAATCCCCCTGTACGGGGGACACGCCCGACATCAGACGAACCTCGCTTGTAGGTCAGCCTGTCTCAGTCGCACTCAGAGCTGGCAGGTCCCGCGCCGCCAGTTGCCTGCACCATGCGGTGGGCCTGTGGAGGTCCACAAAAACTCCTCCTCCTCCTCCTCCTCCTCCTCCTCCCCTCCTCCCTCCTCCTCCTCCCCCCCTCCTCCCTCCTCCCTTCCTCCTCTCCCTCCTATCCCTCCTCCCCTGCTCCTCCTCTCCTCCTCTCCTCCTCCTCCTCCTCATCCTCCTCTCCTCCTCTTCCTCTTCCTCCTCATCCTCCTCCTCCTCCTCCTCCTCCTCCTCCTCCTCCTCCTCCTCCTCCTCGGCCTGTGCCCCTTCAAAAATCCCACTTCCCCCCCGGCGCGCCGCCGCCTCTCCCTCCCGCCTCCGAGGCTCCGTGGAGGCGGGTGCTGTGGCATGACCCCGACCCCCCCCCGAGGTCCGCCCCGTGCCGTCGACGAGGACGAGGGCGAGGACGAGGGCGAGGACGGGGGAGGCCCGAGGGGTGCCGCGAGGGGGGCCCCGACCCCCCCGAGGTCCGCCACGTGCCGTCGACGAGGACGAGGACTGGCTCGGGTGTTGCTAGAAGTGCCCTTGGCCCAGGGTGCCCCCAGCTTTTCGCTCCGTTTTGGAGCCGCTGGGGCCCTCTGGGACTCGTGAGGGGTGCCCTGGAGGCCGTCTGGGCCACCCTGAGAATCCTGGGGGTACCTTGGGCCAGGGCTACTTCTAGCAACACCCGACTGGCTTTCCTCGGGCTCGGGGCCCGGCAGGGGCCGCAGAGCCGCGCACCAGGCACTGCGTGCCGCCGTCGCCCCCCTCTCGCCCGGCGCGTCGCGCGCGAGGCGAGGGGGCCCCGGCCTTCCCTGCGCTCGGGAGCCCGCCTCGGGCCCCAGGGCCCTCGCAGATCGGCGCAGACCGAACCACACAGTACCGGCGCGGGGGTCGAGGGAACAGAGCCCGGGGCGTACACACTCTGAGCATCGTGGGCCGAGGGGCATTTTGCACGCAACCCGTCCGGCAATTCGGGGCTCGCCAATGACGTCTGGCGCCAACACCGTGTTTCGCAACTCTGTGAGCAATGCCAGCGCCCACTCCCACTGCGCTCCTTGCCCACAGGCGCTGATTGCTGAGTTGTAGCTGAAAATGTTCGGATGCACCTTCGTGCTCCTCATTCCTCGTAATAGCGACAACGCTTGCACCCACTCAGCAGATCCCTCGCACGCCTTAAGTGCTGCCGTGTAACACAGGAGGCTTGCGTCCAATTGCTCATCGACCATTTGTCTGAGCAGCCACACCGCCTGCTGCCACAACCCATACTCCTGCTGGCACGCGGTGATTCCAGCAAGGTAGCAAGTGGTATCGGACTCCACCATCGCTTCTATCATGCTGTGAAACAGCATTAACGCCTGCTGCCACTCTTCAGCTTTTGCACATGCGTTGATCCCCATGCTGTAGCTCACGGCGTTTAACTCCAACTTCGCGTCCCCCAGACTGCTGAGAAGCGACACCGCCTGCCTCCACTGCTTGGCTGTCACGAGCGCCCTCATCCCAACGCCGTATTCGGAAATCGTGATGCCTTCCAATCTAGCTTCTGCCATTCCGCTCAACAGCAGCAACGCGTGCTGCCATTGCTTGGTTTCGTCGCAGGCGTGGATTCCTGCAGTGTAGCTGGTGAGTTCGAGTTTCACGTCTGACGCCCTCATTCTGTCGAGCAGCAATAACGATTGCTGCCATTGCCCACCACTCGCCCATGCGCGGATACCAACATCATAAATGAACGTGTCCAACTCCAGCCTCGTTTCCCCCATGTCATGAAACAGCGACAATGCTTGCCGCCAGCGCTCGCACTTCTCACACGCGATGATGACATTCGTGTAGAATCCGATGTCCGGACTCACCATCAACCGCCTCAAGTCGCCAAGCAGTGACAATGACTGCTGCCACTGCCTACCTTTCTCGCACGCGCTCGAAGCAGCATTGTAGCTGAATGGAACTGGCCCTTGGATAATCCTGTCAACAACGTAGCGAACACGATGATGACCAACTTTTCTGGTTACTGCAATTGGCATGATGCAATTTCCTACTGTCTGCATCTCGCCCGTACACCGTGGCTCTAAGTTCGCACCATGCACGCCATATGCAAACACTCGCCGTGCACTTTCGATCAACAAACTCAGGACGGGAACAATACATCTGTGTTTGTACCAAACAGGTTTCAAGAACCGAGGCCAAGGACACATGCAACCACTGTGACCCTCTTCCCGACAAAGCCAGTGCGACTGCAACGACGAACTCACGAAGAAACTGTCCCGAACACTTTTGTAAAGTGGCATGCGTTGGAAATCACTTTGCCCACAAGGGAACTATGATACCGCTGGGTTTCTGTACGCCTGCAAATCCTCAACGCACAAGGCTGACACAATGTCTCGAAGCCGTGCCGGGATTCCATCATGAAACAAGATTCATATACACTGCTGGCTTTCATTGAGCACCGTGCACAACCATTACTAACGTCATTGCCAAGTCGCCCGCAGTGGTAACACAATGTGAACGCCAAACCACACGCGTGTCGATGGCATCACATCGCCTTCCTTACTACTCCATCTCCTCGTATTCCTCCCTTTCCTCATCCCCCATGTCCTTTTCACTCTCCTCTTCCTCCACAACATCTCTCTCGTCCTCCTCCTCCACCGTTGTGCCCTCCCTGGGCCACCTACGGCACCGTCGCGACACTGTCTTATGGGGGTCGGCGGAATGAAACCAGCCTCTAAACTCAACAGAACGCTTCGAAGCCGTCAGGCTCCAACTTGACCTCTCTCAGCTCGCGGAGCAGCGACAAGGCATGCAACCACTGCATTCCTTTGCTGCACGCTTTGATGGCAACATTGTACAAGATAAGATTTGGCGCGTACGATGTCGTTTCGTATCTGAACTTGTGCAATGCTTCGCTCCACGCTTTTGCATTCCCCAAATCCCTTATTTGGGTAGCGGCTGTGGCTTGCCTGCTGAGTTGTTTCTCTCTGGCTATAGGTGGGCCACGGACTGTCATCGGTCGCTTCGGGAGAGGGAAACGCAATGCGTTCTCTGAGCGGTATCCAGAGCCAGATGGCTACAACCTGGATGGACTGATAAGTCGAGCCGCAGGAGACAGGGCAGAACAACCTTGTCCCGACACAAACCGGCACACAAACACAAGCACAACCACACACAACCACACCAACCACACACATACACAACCACGCAAACACACAGACACACAATCACACAACCACACAAACACACGAACACACAAACCCACAAACACACACAATTTCACACAACCACGCAAACACACACACATACACACAACCACACACACAAACAAACAACACGCACACAAACAAACAACACGCACACAAACAAACACACACACACACACATAACCACACAAGCACACACACACGCAACCACCCGAATACACCGAACACACAAACACACAAACACGCAAACACACACACACACAACCTCACAAAGACACAACCAGACGATCACAGGCACACATTCACACACTTACACGAGCACACGAACACACATACACACCATCTCACAGACACACAGGCAGAGACAGAGACACAGACACACACAGACACAAACGCAGACACAGACAAAGACACAGACGCAGACACTGACACAGACACAAACACTGACACAGACACAGGAACAGACACAGAAACATACACAGACACAGGCACAGACACAGGAACAGACACAGACACAGGCACATACACGGACACAGGAACAGACACAGAGACACAGACGCAGAGACACAGACAGAGACAGAGACAGAGACAAAGGCACATACACAGACACAGGAACAGACACAGAGACAGAGACACAGACACACACACAGACGCAGACAGAGACCCAGGCAGAGACACAGACACAGGCACATACACAGACACAAGCAGAGACACAGACAGAGACACAGACAACGGCACAGGCACAGACAGAGACACACACAGACACACAGACAGAGACACACACACAGAGACACAGGCAGAGACACACAAAGACACAGAGACACACACACACAGACACAGACACACACAGACACACACACACACACAGAAACACACACGCACAGACACACACAGACACACACAAACACACGCACAGACACAGACAGACAGACAGACACACACACACACACATACACAGACACACACACACACACACCAAAAAAAAAAACATGCGCACACACGAACACACACACACAAACACCCACACAGACAGTAACCATTCGGCTCAACCTGGTTCGCTGGGCGCGCCTCTGGCCGCGCTCGCACCCGGCGATGCCCGGTACGCTCACGCAGCCGAAAGTACGGCGTTGTGCGGAGGAGGCGGCGCGCGGTGCCATCCTCG